CAACCGACAGCGTTGGCCGATTTTGGATGAGACCCGGTGGGACTTTGGGTAGGTTTGACAACTTTGAAAATGAAATGGTCATTGCAGAATATTGCGTTTTTGCTTTTTAATGCAGACGAAGATGTTTTTTAAACACAGTATGGGTAGACCAGATTGTTTTGGGTTTTTTTAAACAGAGGAAAACTTACATTTAAAAAAATACCCACCTACGTGTGGACTAGGCCTACATGGTGTAAATGAGCCAAAAGCTTCATAAAGCCACAAAATCTGCATTTTACAAAAGCAAGTTTGTACCGTGTCATAGTTTAAGAACAAATACAAATCAGTAAAGAAGGAAACAGAGCTCACATTCATAAATGCTGTGTAGTGTGTATGGTGACATGAAGTGGCACTGAAACACTAAATAAAGAATGACGATGTGGAGTCATTCTTGCTTCAGAGGCACAACGAATGAATGTTCACAGGGATATATTATCTTGCTATGGTTTTAATATCTATACGGAGACTATTTCTGTCTGCATTGCAATATAATTTATCAGTAGAATATATAATTTCATTGTTTTTTAATAGCAGAAGATAAGAAATACTAATCGTAATACAATAAGTTAAGTAGATTATAATTATTGATGGGTTCACCTTGTTCATGTCAGACTGCAGCTGCGTCCACACCAGGTTTCAATCTAAGATGCACACGAGTTGAACTGTTGTTTTTATACCCCTCAGGCAAGCAGCCCCCCAAAATGCAGTTCCTTGAGTGTCCACTTGAGGCTGGCTGCAAAGGCACCAAGTCCAACACACACCCCTTATTTAGATGCCTAGTGTTACAGCAGAAATACAAATCTGTAAAAATCTGTTCTGATTTGATGAAAGGTAAGAGTTATTGATAATTAGGGGAGTGGCTGATCTGACTGACAGGCAGGCTCATTAGCTGTTAGCCAGAAGCTCCACCTGTTAGCCTGTTGTTAGGTTGACTGAAAGTTTGTTTGACACAGCACTTCCAATATGGCAACCACCTTCAAGAAGTTCGCTTGAGAACCCAAATTGTTATCAAATGTGCCTTTCGAAAGCTGCTATCCCATTGTGAGGGCTCTGAAAGTGGGTGGGGCTTACATAAGCATCCTACTTTTCCTAACATATCCTGAGATTTCTTGCACGCCTTGCAATTCAAACGACTTGGTCGACTTTGATACAGTTAATTGTGAAGGGGCAGGTGAGACTTATTTGCAAAATAATAGGTTACGTTATAGGACATTAGTAATGAGAGCTGGTTCTGGTAAAGCTGTTGAGGTTGCTAGGCGACCGGAGCGGTGCTAGGAAACGAACAGGTAAGGGCGGGAACGAGCAACAGTATACATTTTGAATTACGAAAGGTAACTTGAGACTTTGAATCATTTATAAAATAAAAGGGGAAGTTAGTCAGTGATGTTAGCTAGTTCTGGTTCAGCTGTTGTGGTTGCTAGGCGACAGGACTGGTACTAAGACAACAAAGTCTGGGTCTTTCAATGGATGTTCCCCCGAATATCAGATATGGCGCTAGCTTCTAGCTAAATTTGTTTGGTTTTAAATGGGGGCAAAAAACAGCGATAAGTTGTCATGGTGACAGAAATGAAAAGAACATTGGTGTAACATGTAACCCAACAAACAAGTTACTGTGAAGCCTGGTGTGGAAGCCCACCTCCTAAAACCTGCCTTACTCCCTCTCTGAAGGTGTGTTGACATGCTATAAGTGTTTAAAAACTCGTGTGTAGATACAGTTTGTTGTCAAATAGTACATTCAGTATCTGTGTTGTCCTAAATCTAAAGTAGTAAATGCTCTTTAGGCCTTTTAGTGATCTTCCGTAAAGCTCCTTTTGATGCGATAAATAGTTCTCGTTGAAAATACGTTTGAATGTCTACCTTGAATTCCATTATGGGTATTTCTTCATGTCCATCGGCCTCTCCAGTGTGTGCTGTTGTTGCTTACAGTGTGTGTTTGTCATCATACTTGAACATTCAAGTTGCAGTGCAATTGTAACCTGTACAGTAGTTTGGATTTTGTGAGAAGTAAATCAAATTGAAAAGGCAGAGCTGATGATACATTTTAAAGGGTATTACGATTGAAGGATCCTGTTAACAGATAGTCGATGAAAGGGCTTAATTTAAGTAAACTTTACGCCCCTATTGGTGCAGGCTCTTGTGCTACGTTAAAAACACATTTTGTCAATGAGTCAATGTTTCTGGAAAACTTCAGAGTGCTATCTTAATATTGCATTGAAGGCAACAGTCTGAGGCTACAGTCACACTAACATGTTTTCATTTCGTAGCATTCATTTTTTTTGCAAGATTAACACAAAGCTACCACAGTACCCTAGAGCAGTGGTTCCCTACGACCCCCAACATAAGGTGCTAGAGACTGGGGCCTAAACACTGTAGTAATATTTTAGTAATTTATTGTAGAAAAACACGAGAAGCAGAACAAATAATCTCTTATATTTTCACAATAATGGGCAAAATATGCTTTTTAGGATTGAATCTCATGACCCCCCTCTCAGTGTCTCGCAACCCCCCAGGGGGTACCAACCCTCACTTTGGGAACCACTGCCCTAGGGTATTCGGGCCCCTTAAAAACATAGTTTGTTTGATGCTGCCTACACGGTTTATCCTTTCAAATGTCCAGGTTTGCGTCCGGAGGCAGACAACCACATTTATTTAGTTATTATCAGATTTTCTGTCATGCCTACATTATCCTGTGACTCGAGTTTTTGGAAAACGTAAGAATATTTCTTAGTAACTATTTTAAAATGAAAATATAGTTGTGTGGATGTAGTCTCAGACGAGTGATTTACTGGGTAAATGTTCTTTGAAATGAATTCTTGTCGATTCATCAGAGCTATGATAGTGTGGCCTGGTGTTGGCATTCCTGCCTTCAAATCTGAGTGACATACTCCCTAACTTTATTTAAATTTCAGATCACTGAAAGAAGTATAAAATTTAAACTTTCGTATTCTGCAGGTAAAGAAATAGTTTGGATGGCTCCTTTTATTTTAAAATATATCTCTGGTAAACTCAATTTCAGTGCAAATAGTGCAAAATCTTACTTGAGAATGTTGCTTATAATGTTGTGAAGCATCTTTAAAAATGATTTCTTTAGAGACTTAAAGAGGGGGCCAAATTCTGGACGTTATTGTGAGAAAACATCAGATCTCTGAAAACGATTTGTAAGAATAGGTAGACTTTTAGAAGCTTAATGTGAAGGCAATATAAGACTACATGTTTACGCCTCATTTCCACTTACGTATGGGACTAGTATCTAGACAGATGGATGATGCCTCCTGGTGTCCAAAAAGAGGAAGTGCATTTCTTTACAGATGGTAGAAACACGAAACTACCTGAAGCTGTGGACAAGAGGCTAATATTCCTGTTTTGCGCCATCCAACCATGCTTTTCGAGAATATTGAACTGAGCAGAATAATATATTAACAAAATAACATTACTCAGGTTCACATTGTGTTAAAACTAGATTAACAATTTATTGTTAATCATACAAACTTATGGACATTTACCATTGCCAACTGAATCTAAGGAAATAGCCTTTTAGCTAGTTAGTGCCATACGGTCTCTGAAATCTGGCTCAAAAGTTGAAAAAAATTAACGTACTTCCGGGACCAAATATTACGAAGGGGATCGGATATCCCGAAGAGTCCCATTGGAATGCATGGACTCCCGGTTGATTCACATCTGTATACTGTACATACGTAAGTGGTAACAAGGCGCTAACCTTTAAAGTAGAAGTTAAAAATGTTGTTTTAAGATGTTTCTCTTGTCATTGGCTTTTGTTTCTAAGAACCTCTTGACATTGGATAGTAGTTTTTCTCTTCATTGATCGCTGCAGTAATGGTGGTCAACAAGGTAAACCAGTGGTCCATATTAAAATGCTGATTTTTTGGGGTTGTTTGATTCTAATAAAGTATGTGAACAAAATAGTTATACTGTTAGGTGGTTTTGTAGGAATTCAGCTTTAATGCTTTGATTATGAGTCCTTGTATCGTCTGATAGTATTTAAGCGGTGAAATCAGTACAGGTGGTTTATATCCCTGAATTCATGTGCCAACAAAGCAGCAGAGATTTAGTGTTTCTGTAAAATCTGTGATTTTTCTTTTTTTTGACTGTAGAATTTGCAGCACAGAGTGGTGACATACAACTCAAAGCACAGTGGTGTGAAAACAAAGTGAAGAGATCAAAAGTCCTGGCTTCTTGGCAGAACTGATCCTCAAAGGATTCACAGCAAACTATGTCAGGAAAGCAGAAATGGTGAAACACGACTGCCACCAACCCAACTTCCAATTTTCTCTCTCACAATCACAATCTCGCACGCACACACAGAAACACACTCACCATGTGACAAACAAAACAACGAGACAGGAGACTTTTGGTTTCCAGTATCACCCTCCAAACCTCGCTCTAGAATGGTGCATTATCATGCAAACCATGCAAAAAACAATGACAATGTATTCATATAAAAAAATAAGTGTTACAAAATGGCATAGCAAGTATATGTATCCATTCAATCGCTTTTTCTGTTTCCTGATATCCTGAACTTTGCAGTGTCTACACTAGAAGTCGCATGCGTTACATGCAGTGCGGTTGGCTTTGCAGCAATAAAGCTTTTGGGTGTATATAGTATGTATAATAATGTTCCTTTTACGTTTTGCTAAATTTTTGCGAAGAGTGCGCTGTACAGAGTTTTACTTTACAAACTGTCTGTTTCTGGGCAGTCACAATGCCATGGCTCTCTGTCTGAACAGCGGTCGGTTGATGAGATCAGCGGTTGCCTCTGAAGCTCAGTGACCTCTTCACAACCTTGCAGCATCATGGTGGACTACAGCAGACCCACCTTTCCTCCTTGTGGTTTGGTCCAGAGGTGTGGTTTTGACCCAAGCTGATTTGGGTTTAGAGGCATGGGTTGAACATAAGGTCATATCGAAGAGTTGTGGATTTCTATGCGGTCACCCAATCACCTCTCACGGCGGCGTGGTCCACACAGCGTCACCAAATCCCTCCCCTGTGGAGGAAAGAGGCAGGGGCCCTCCACTGGGCGTAAATGGGTCTGTGTCCGTGTCTGTCTCCCCTTCCGCTAGGTAGCTCGGTCTGGGTCTTGTCCAGCTGGTGTCACCAGTACCTGGCCTAGCCCCCATTGACAAGTCTTCCCCTTCCTCCCCCTCCCGTTCCCCAGAGATACTGAACCCGCTTGGCGAGCGCTCCAGTTCCTCGTGGTTCACCGATAGCATGGAGAGTGGCGAGTCAGCCCCCCGCCCCCCTGTGGTCCTGCCTGGCCCCACTGACAAGTCATGCAGGGAACTGATGGGCAGCACTGTGGGACGCTCGGTGTAGGTGGGAATGGCAGCTGGAGGGTGGCGTTGGTGGAGGTGTGACGTTGGCGGTTGATGGTCTGAAGGATCATTGCTTCCACCAGCAAATCCTGTTCCATCCGCACTGCCTCTTCCTCTGCCGTGATATGGATTCAGCTTGCTGACAGGCATCTGGTACGACATGTGCGGGAATGCCTCAGAGTAGTTCAAGAAAACCCGACGGATCTCACCGTTCCCCGTAGGGTCACAGGTCTCCAGGGTCATTCGAGCTGCGCCATTAGAGTCCACCTGTAGGTGCTCAGTGTGCTGGATGTGCATATCCACCAGGAAGTCCAACTTCTTCTCCATGTCCTCCACCTAAGACAGATTCAAGTTACACCACAGAAACATCTGACGAGATCATCTTTAGAACTATCAAAACATCCAGACTTTGCTTACAATCAGCAGAAGGGGGGAATTATTCACAAAAATGGACCCTGATGATTATCTTGTACTGTGTACCCTGCTTAAGGAAACATATGTGTCATGTGACTAGTCTCAAACGTAAGTTTCAAGTCATCACCAGATTAGAAATAAATAGATGGTAATGTTGATTACTTAGGGTGTTGCTACCTTGTGATGGAAAAGTCGACCATGAAAGAGGTAAGCAATCCTTGTACAACCTCTTCTTCAAATATGGTCAATAAAAAAGTCAAACCTATTCCATCATGGTGGCTGTTTTGGAAACCGCTAACTACATACTACTATCATACTAATACTACGTTGGACAGTAGTATGTAGTATGACTGCCAGTCGGTGGTTATTTTGCAGTATGCCAAGCTGCTTTCCTTGGACTGTGAGTGGAGGCTACAGTGCAGCCTCCACTCACAGTCTGAAAATAGCTGACAAGTGATTCATTTTGATTTTCATGATGTAGAGAATCAAGAAAGATAATTGGTGGTGTCGTTGTGTGGTTTGGTCTGATAGCGATTGACGTTGCTGTCCCGTCATTTCGATCTCTGACTTGACGCTTTGCATTGTGGGAAAGAGTAGGTGTGGGAGACTGGTCTGATGCAGACTGAAGATTTTTCTCTGAATTAGTACCACATCCTGGTGTTTTTGTCATACTGTGAATTTGTTGGCATATTGCATTCTGAATTATGGCAGAATCAGTTCATTTGACTAGTATCGTAAGCAGTTTTGAAAACAGCATGTTTATGAATGTAGCAACAAAATATGGCACTGAAAGTTTCTTGGTTTCTCAGAAGGGCGTCCTTTAAGGGCTATGCACAAACATTTCAGATATATGGTTCTTGTACAATGGTCCATCTTAAATGTTGTACACTCCATTACCAATTCAACCATCTCAGGAAGAGATTTGAAATCTTGATGCTCACCTGTCTTTCCACTCTGACAAATCTACCCATCATGCTTTGATCTTCCGCATCTGGCATGGAGGCTGCTTTGGCTAGGTAGGTCTCATGCCTGGAACACAGGGACACTGAGTAGATGTGGACTGCACACACATTTGTTTACAGACAAGGAACAAGGTGACTTGCTAGCACAAACTAACTGCTTTACTAAATGTTCAACATAACAAGAAATCATAACAGGACAAAATTCACAGTAATATGTGACAAGCTGCTGAATCACTACAGGGTTACAGTACCTGGGCGACTGACTGGATGGGTAGGTAAACGGCGGTTTCGGATTTTTCTTCTGTTTGGGGGTGAGTGGGGCTCCAGGGGCGAGTATCATGTCGATCCTTACAAAATGGGAAATAGAAACAGGAAAAGATGAAGGAAGAGGAGATATTTGCTCTTCTCGAACAAACTCCATCGCCTGCAGTGTGTAGTTACTGACCTTGTCTGGAGGTATTTTATTCTACAGAGCATGTCCAGGTGTCCAGCAGAGTACTGCTCTATCACATCTTTGACATCATAAGGCCTCAGAGTCTCCTTAAAACGCTTCTTGTTTAAGAGGAATTGCATGATCCTGTGAGACAAAGAGTTTCAAATGTCAATATTCTGCACTCTGAAGTGACAGAATAAACCTCAAACAATGTTGGTCCTCTGTTCTATCTGTCAGCCAGTCATCAATGTAGGAGTTCGCCCTGAAGGTGTTTATGCTGGGGGATCAATGACAAAGCACCATGTTTCGTTCTGATCGACCCATGCTCAGCCTGACATCTCCCTGTTCTTTGAAAGTCATTCCCGACCTGAATTCAACACTGCCACCCACGGAGCCCCTTCTTTTGTCAGTCAGATCTCCCACTTTGAGTTGATTTGAACCCGACCCTTTGGAGAGCCCGCGGCTGCTGCACAAGCTTCAGTGTTTGGCAGAGAGTCTTGGGTCCTGAAACTGAAACCCTTTAGGTTTGAGCATCCCATTGAGTGACCCATTCAGCCCTGAAATAATGGTGTGGAAGGAAGCAGCACTTTCACAGGGTTAATCACTCATCTCACAGGCCCTCATGCTAGATTAAATTCCTGCATTATGTCAACTGTGTGGCCTATAGATTTACCAGCACACTGAAAGCATGAGTAAACTCTGCCTACACGCTCTGGTTTCAGCTGCCTACCCTTGTACTCCGCTGCAGAGACTGAAGTTGTTTTCACTCATCAGGTTTAATGCTTTTCCTTACACACAAAAAAATCTGCAGAGCTGATTTTTGAGAACTTTTAAACTTGTAATGTTTGTATCTTTGTTTTCTATCAGTCTTCTTTTCCCCCCACCTTTGTTGAACTATTTCCATTTTCTCAGCCCATTACTCTGCTGATATAAAACCATCATCAATCAGCGACTTGTCATGCTTAAACGAGATTAGATAAGATATACTTTTATTGTACCCAAAGGGAATTTGGTCTTGGACATGAACATTTCCCGGATATGAACACTGCTCTTGGAAATCCTTCAGGAAATTACTAGTGTCCATTTCTTCTATGAAATGGACAGCAGAAGCTATAGAATCCTTTGGGACGAACAGGCCTGAGGATTCCCTCATACAGTGGAATGGAGGTAAATGCCTCAGATTTTGGTTCAAAGTGTGCTAAAAGCTGTACAGCAATGATCCAGAGATAAAAGTTCTTGTCAAGCAGTCTTGGAACTAATAGGCAACTTTTGAGGGCTTCAATTGGAGACAGGTATTATATAGATTTGTGGTAAAGGATATCCAAGCTAAAATCCGTGCCCCGGCAAATGTTTACAATCCGACAAGCAACGTATACATTTTTATTTGATTCATTTATGTAACAGGCACATATATGATTGCTTCATATATAAAATGCAAAGTAGATGCCGTGCAGGTTATTGCTAAATTCAGACATAATACTCTATAGATGAGCCAATGAGTTCAGCACAGTGGATGCTTTCCAACCTTCTTTTCTCCTACATGTCCTTTGTACAACCAATGCCCATTATAACGCTACCAGTTAGGACCAGTATAGCATTCATAACACAGTCCTTGCTGGTCTTATGGTTAGTTGGTATCCAACAGAACAACAACCAATTTTTAACATAATCATCTGACACACACACACACACACACACACACACACACACAAGACGATTTGGCCAGAATGTGCGACCACACACCGGCTGTAGTAACCGTTCCACAAACACAGGATTTACAGAATTTTACAGGATTTAACAGAAACTTGTAAAACTAATTTGGAGGACGGTCACAGTCGTCAGCTTTCTGTGTGGTATGTCTTGCATGAGACATTATAAAGGCACTTGTGAGAAATTAGCCAATAATATCACAGTAAAGTATTTCAAAACTCACAAGAATAGTTGGCCAAAACTGAAATGTACATCTGTTGTTCCTGACCTGACTGCCCTGATGACCAGTTTCAGCGTGGGGATCATCTCTTCCATGAGGATGTCTGGTGGGAATCCCCGCTCCTCTAAGGCAGGTTCTGCCAGGGCTCCAGAATCTGAGTAAGAAAAAAAAGTTACCAATGGACTGATAAGACAGCTCCAGACACCAGGTTTTAATCTTAATCTTAAAGGCCAAAAACTCTCATTTGCGTACCTTCGGAGCTCTGGCGGAGTGTGTGGGCCTTCATGCGAAAGGCAGTGCGGAAGCGTTCCCGATTGCTGAAACCAGCTGGTTTGGGCTCCTTCGACGGACTTTCCTCGATGGCGTCGGCATTGCCTGTGAGCTTCTTCACCGTCCCCACTGATGTCCGTGCATTGGGAAGGCGTACACGTTCTAGTAAACTCATTTTTTGGCTGAAATTAAAGAAAAGAGAGAGGTATGACGGATGAATAAAGAGGTCATGAAATATGAGAATCATGCAAAGTCGTGAACCAGAAAGAAAAATGACAGAGGGCTTTTATAAAACACAAAAGTTATTAACTATTTAGTCCCAATTGTAATTTTCACAACTTGCAATGTCTCCTGTTGAAATATTTAAAAGGAGAAATCAGTAAGATGTATAGTGAGTGAAATGATAAAGTGAGCTTACTATATGATCAGACATTAAGGAAACATGTTATGTTGAAGTGCTGGCTTCTCTGACAACAATGCAGCAGCCAGTATGTCCTCCTCTAACTTTAGATTCTGGTCCTGAATTTTCTGGATTTGTTTGGACCAGAGAAGGTAGGCTGTTTAAAGGCGTCCCCCAAAAGGCCGTTTTGGACGTCCCTCGGTTTGCAGATATGAGAGCAGTTATCAGGTCAACAGGTGTTGCAGCGATGGAAGCAGTCAAGAGAAGTGGTTCAGATAGAAGTGATTGTACCCGACCTAAAAAGCCTCTGCATGTTTCTAATAAGCTCCACGAGCAGAAACGTGCTCAAACTAGGATCAATATTGGAGATGCTTTTGAAAAATGGAGAGAGGCTAGAACACAGAAAGGTTTACAGACCCATGCAGAGCTGGATAAACACTGAAGCTTCAAGTCCACAACATGGCAACCTTCACTACATATCTAAATGATTGCTCCTTTAAGTGTCACTTTTTAAAAAAAAGTTTACATAAGAATTATCTATTTGATCTCCAACCTTCACTGAGGCTGTTTGAGTTGTTGTAGTGGCATTTTTGGTATTCTGAGGTCAAATCAAAGAATTCACTTTCTGGTCTCTTCTACAACTTTTTTTGACTCTGACTGACTTTCATGGTCAGCTGCCTCCACATAACAATCTTGCCCTCCTGGCACAAGAGCTGCGAGGAGATTGGTCTCCTTTTATTGTCCAATGGCTGACAATATTTGGCAGCACAAAGACTTGAGGGTAAAATAAGACTCCTGTGTGCCTTGGAAGAGGCAGAGAGGCGGGGTAACCGGAGCCGAAAAAACAGCCCAAAAAGGGCCTCTGAAACGTGGAGCGTTCTCAGCGACTTTGCTCCCACAGCCGACACACAATATGAGCCTCTATGTGGCGTCAGGGCCGAATGGGGACGGCAGATTACGGCGCTGAGAGGCTGCAGAATGGGACACTCTAAAGGAAGAGAGAATCTCTTTCTGACTGCTTTTCCAACGAATAAAGAGCAGAAAATTACAGGAGATTATCGGCTGGATCTTTGTAAACCAGGCAACACAACAGGAAGAAATAAAGCTCCTGATGTCCCTCAGGTCGGACTTCACAAGAGACACAAACTGGTTTACTGTCCATGCACAAACCTGCAGAGGAACATTAGCGGATAACTCAGATTTGAGTAGTTATATTTTGGTTTCTGGCTTTTATGTTTAGATTATATATACCAACTCTCTCGGAAAAACAAATCCAAGCTTCTCCAGGTTTTTTCAATCCATTCTCTCCTTTTTATATCCTTAACCCTAACATTGACCTTATCTGAACATTAGAGGAGAAATGTGTGACTTTTTGCTCCAGTAGATGTCGCCTTGAGCTCCAGCATGAAACCAAAACAAACTGCTGTTTAGCCACGCCTCCTCCATACTGAAGCCTCCGCTCTCCTCCAGAGACACACCTCCACTCGGGTTCACTCGAATGAGTTTAGCGCAAGCGGCGTACAAACTGGTCCTCGGCTCGAGCTGCAATCACCTGTGTCCTGCATTGTTGTGTTAGCATGCTAATGTTAGCGCTCTTTAGTTAGCTCGTAGCTTCACATTTCATGTAAAGTGACACAGAATGAGCGTGATCTAAAAACTCTTACTAACATCCAAATAATCAGTGAGTATGTTCTTCTTCTTCTCTCTAGTTCTTGACTAAAACAGCTTTTATACACAAGGGGAGGAGCCGGCCGTCCCGTCCATGTAAACACGGCTCTGACAACAACACAGCCAGCGGGACTCGAGCTTCTCCCTCATGTAGACAGTCAGGACTCAGAGACACATTTACAGGATAGAGTTGATTTCTGATATATGAATGTCTAGACACTTTGGTAAAGGTGGGCAAATACAAGGACAATGTGACTCTATGTAAGAACAATACGACTTCCAAACACCCAAAACTGACTCCTCAACGGGCTGTGTTGAATCTCTCACACACACACACACACACACACACACACACACACAGGGAGTGGCTGAATAGTCGGACATGGCAGTCTGTTGTAGCTTCTGGCCGTCGTCCACTTCTTCGCTCAGAGCAACAAGATAATGTCACACTGCTAATTTCCCAGCCGCTGATCCTAGAGAGAAGTGAAAACACTCTCTCTCCCTCTCTCTCTCTCTCTGCATCATTCAGAGCATTTGTTCCTTTTCTCTGTCCCTTTCATTTTCATTCCCAACATATCCTTTTCTGAAATTTCTCTCCCTCCATTATTCTCGATTTTCTCTGGGGGAAACCCTCACATAGAGCAGTGGTTCCCAAACTTTTCTGCCGTGCCCCCCATTCAGCAGATGAAGACATTTTCCAGCCCCCAGCCCCCAAAGCCCTCACCATACACATCAAGATATACCACTAAACCAAGGTAGTGACCCCACTTCACTGGGGACCTCGGTAATCCAATCAATAAACAGCTTATTGCTAAAAGTATTATTTTTATCAATGATGTGATAGTTTGTTCTACTGTGTTGCAAGTACACAAAGGTGAGCGTGTATGAACAAAACTGTTAATTAAAGCTGGGCAATAAGGGTAAATATTAATGGATGAAGCCCGAGTGACGTCCCCATCTCTTCCTGCAGGGGGCGCTGGAGTCCCCTCGATGGCGGTCTCCATGCTGGAAATGCTGTCTCAGTCTAACTTTCAGTCAACCTAACGACAGGCTGAGAGCTGGAGCTGAGGCGGGTTTTAAACCTCCTGACAAACCGTTACACCGCGCCCACCTGTCAATCATTTCAGCTACACGCCTTATTGTGAATAACTCTTATCCTTCATCAAATCAAAACTGATGAGTCATCAAAACATTCACCCCCCGTACAGTGTGTGTCCATCCAGACATGAGCTAATCACACCTATTTGGTTTTTTGAACCAGGCTGTAAACATGTTCATCTCTGCTGTAAAAACAGGCTTTTTAGAATGGGTGTGTATGTGACTTCCTGTGCTTCTGCAGCCAGCCTCTAGTGGACACTCAAGGAACTTTTTCCCTTTTTTGTTTTTCTATCTCACTAAATAATCTTTTACTAACATCACACTGTATTTGGAGGGGGTATATAACTCCAAAAACTAGGACAAGTAGGTCCAAATATCAGAAAAGTTAGCAGTATTTTGAGTGAAGTGACCCTTTAAATACCCGCTCAACAAACATAAGGGTCTGAAAGTGAGCTGACCCCCCCCCCCCCCCACTCTCTATCAGGCTGTGTATCAGGGCTCCTGTTGTTGCCGCCCAGCAGCTTTTAGCAGCAGTAACCTAATCCAGCGTGTTAAACATGGGGGCTTAGAGCAGGCCAGGAGGCGTTGGAGCAGAACGCTCCGATGTAATGAGGCTACCTGAGGACCAGGTGAGTCCAACCGCCTAAGAAGGACGAGGAGGGGGTAAAAGTCACAGAGGGATTAAATGGATTTTGGGTCCAGTTGACCAGAAGAAAGAACGCTTGGAACACAGTTAACCTCTGCTTTGGGACTGCACAACTAATTACATTTTATTTAAAATAACTTTTGGCCTTCTGACAATCAAAGAAACATGATTGACGGCGAAGTTCCTCCTCTCCAGATCGCTAGTGTTGTACTTACTGTCCAATGTTTAAAACGCACTTAAAGAGGACATATTATCCCCCTTCTCCACCTTTTCAAACAGTCCCCTGTGGTCTAAATGAAACATCTGTGCTGTGCTTTGCTCAAAATATAACATGAATCAAGCACCAGAGGAGGTTTGTGACCCTGTATAAACCAGCTCTCTCAGAACGCTCCGAGTTTTCCTGGTAGACATCACTCTCTGTAACAAGAATAAAAATGGCGGCCCCGCACAAAGTTTTTGCTCTAGGCTGGGGGTGGAGTCCATGGGTGGAGATACCAGCGGAGGGGAGGGGATTTTTTTTACCAGAATCCCACTGTGATGTCACAAGAAGAAGAAACGACTCCTCAACCCACTTTTGGGGCCACTGGTTTAAGGCGTGTCAGTTTCCTGACTTTTCTCAGACGATCATGTCTGTTTGCTTTATTATATTCAAGCTTTGGTCTCGAGAGTTTGCAAAACTATACAGAACAGAAATGATGTGTCAGCCGGCGTTATTTAATTAATAACAGAAAAACAATGGAGGACTTCACTGCAGATTTCTGACGGACCAAACAAGACAGATTAAAGAGCTTCAAGCTTAGGAAGGCCAAAGCTTTTCTGAGGTTTTATTTATGATTTTTATTTTTTCAATCTAAAGCTGAGTTATTAAAAGCCTCACATGTATCTTCATCCTTACAGTATTAAACACCGGGGCAGAGACCCAGGAGGGGGCGGAGAAGGCAATAAAGAAATGACCGCTTCAGGCTTTTTCTCTTATATATCTTATAAATTCCTCTGGAAGAAAATAAAAAACCTCAGCCAACTGTGTAAAAAATCTCCACTGATGTGCAGACCTAAAAAAAATAATGGCTGTGCATTGATTACAGCAATTAACTCATGAAGACGAGATCAATTTCCTGCACAAATCACACATCCTCATTAAAATCCCTCCACCCATCAAACTCAGAGTCCTCCTCTCAGGCACTAATTACTCAATCCAAACCGTCGTTCATAATTGAAACATCACTAATGGGTTTCTAAAAAAAAAAACTAAAAAAAACTGCACAAATGTCATCGAAGTGTCCCGACGTGGAAGAGACAGTGCTATTAAATAACGGGACGAGAGGGGCTTTTACGTCACAATGCACATCTTCGAGATTTATTCGACTTGTGAATTAGTAAAGGAGGCTATTTAAAAGCGGACGGGGGGGGGATATTCTGGGAAACCTTCATTAGTCTCTCCAGCATGCAGGGCTAATTAAAGCTCGGGCAGAAAAAAAGACTGCTGCAGATGAAACAACGTGACCTACCTCGCGATGGCCTCCAAGTGATCCTTCCTTTAGAGAAGAGAGAGAAAGAGAACATTAAAGTGCATTTACAGAGCGGCTTTGAAAGGAAAGGGTAAGCAACATTTACAAGACTGAATGAGTGCTGTCTTTGAGTCTGACATGATGCACGGCGTCGAGCAGGCTAACAGGACGCACAGGTGTAGATTGTATCGGTTTGACAGTAAATGTTTGTACAGCTAAATTTTGTTAAACACATAACTGCAGTACAATGTTTAAGTTGCAATATTAATACATATTTTTTGATATAAAGATTCTGCTGTGTCTCCACCGGTGCAAACAATAATCAAAACTGCAGCTCCACCAGCTGATATCTACTGCACAGAAACGAGATCCAAATGACGTCACTAGTGTGAAATGTCTTGCACCCATCATGGCAGTTAATTTTCATCGTTTTCGTACAATGGGCGGAGGCGGAGGTGGAGCTGCATCAACTTATCTTTTCACTTTGTGTAACTTACCTGAAACAGGGAAGAGAGATGATAGTTTCATAAAATCTCCACGTGGCAATGAGGTCGTCCCTGATTGGATTGGTGGAATAATATCTCCAGGCAGACTTGAACGAAGAGGAAAGAACGTAACGTCACAGATCAGACACTTTGAACTCTAGGATCGAAGCTTGTTGCTGATGCTCGGAGGAGTTTGTCTCACCTGGATGAGCCCGGCGGCTGGATGTCTGCGCTTCTCAAAGTGCTTCTGTCTGTGCTGCTCCTGGACTTTCAGAGCCAGACCTGAACCCAGGATCCCCTACACCCCAAAAAATCAAACAAACACAGTCAGAAACACGAGCGGATGTTCAGGCTGAATGGGACGTCATACTTAGACCCTCTCTTGCTTTTAAGAAAGTTTTAGGTGCACTCGGTGAAGCTGCTAAAAACGAGACAACATGAAAAAATCTACAGATTTTAAAGTAGGCTCGGCCTGCTGACAAAGTTACATTCTGCAGTAAACAGGTGATCAGGGCACTCTGTGGACATGAGGAGGGGGACGCCACAAGTTGTTCTATTAGATCGACTTTGAAATGACTATTTTAAGGTGAAAAAAGTTACATATTGTTATTCTAAGTGCAGTCCATTTACCATTGTACCATTTCCCACAGGTTTGACACGAGCAAAAGTTTGTCCAAGTTACACTTCCTCATTGGTCAAGTATTGCATTGCATTGTGTTACACTCATTGTAGACAGTCATGACTCACATGAGATATTTTCAGAGGATATACTTGATTTCTATTACATTTAAGCCTTTAACAAAATGCTAAATACAGAAAGTGTACCCACTGCAGGCAAGGCGAAGAAAGACACTCCAATCAGAGCAAAAGTGCCGGCTAACAGCCTCCCAGCCCATGTCTTTGGGGTTTTGTCCCCGTATCCGATGGTGGTCAGAGTGATCTGCAAAAAGACACAAAAAATGATAAACTTTCCTTCCAATATGTCTAAAGTTACTGTCACATTTTTGAGGGAGACGGCACAGTTTGAATGGCTCAGAGGTCTCGGACACATAAGACACTGGTAACAGCATAAATATGTCAGCGTTGCAGTCCCATTGTCCTCGTCTCCTCAGTATAAATGCAGCACTGCTCTGTGACCTCCATATTGATCCGCTGAAGAACACGTCTTTGTTGCAGTAGCTCACAACATCATCTAGAAAAAGCGGCTTATGATGATGGAGTGCATCGCTCGAGGACACTTCAGCGGGGGCCGACTCTCTCGCATACCATAGAACTTGAACTCTGGTTGAAGGACGGTGCCCGTTAATGAGGCCACGCTGCTGGAAGAAAAAAAAACTGCACAGTTCTTCCCTGACAAAACTGGACGGCTTTCAATTAGAGCAGCTCTGCCAGCATTTGGACGATTCTCCGACAAGGTACCAGCTCCCTTTTCTCCAACAAAGCTTCATGTTGTTCTGCGGCTTACTTTGAAGCTGTGAATGTTGGGAGTGTCTGAATAGGACGTGTCGGAAAAAAAACGATAATTGTTTTTTGGCAGAAATATCCGATTTGGATCCCAGTCAACATGGTATCAGTTGATCATTTGATAAAGTGTAATCAGTCTGCCAAGCTCCTGCTGAGTGGATACTACACATTAAAGATTGTAACATACAAACTCCCCAGCAGAAGGAAGACATGGATGTGTCAGACAAATTAGTTTTTAGCACCTGCTTGGACCGTAACTCATGACAAGAGCACCATAAAACATTCTGAGGACTTTGCAAAGAACACATTCAAATCAATCCTTGTTTATCCCTCAGTAAATGTGGACAAGAGAAGGAGAAGCAAACAGAGAGCTGATGTACGTACCAGCCCCCACCACAGTGCGTCGGCGTAGGTGTCGAAGTCCTGCGTTTTGGGCTGAGCAGTGGGATTATCGTGGTTGGACACGTCCATGGATATGTCGTCCTTCTCCACCAGGTAGACCAGGAAAGACGCCAGGATCAGAGAGAGGAAGCCGATGTACCAGGCAGTGATCAGCTCCTACGCAAACACATGGATCAGTCACTCCAAAGAAAGGATAGGAGGATATCTTAAATATGTAAAAACTAAGGGCCAGAATTCCTTCTTTTCACATTTGCCATTTTCCTTTTGCAACAATTACCTTTAACCCAATGGAAATATTGCTTACATACCAAACGTTTCCAAAAGTAGTACGGGAGGCAGAACCTACCAGTTTCTGTTTGTTGCATTACAAAATCTTTAGAGATTTGGTGATAGAGATTTGGTGATAGATTGATTGGTTGATGCCCTTAAGGAGTCTGTAGGTTTGCAGCTTGATCCAAAGGAGACAGGACTTGGTTGTAGATCTTGAAAAAGCTCAGGTCAACTTCGGTATCTCCAACCAAGTCCAGCTGCCTTTGGATCAAGCTCCAGTGTCGCCGTCATTAGAAACATTTAGTATCCCACTGGTTCCAGGTCCATCCTTACCTTGCTGTGAGCGTAGATGGCGGAGCCCAGCAGCTTCCAGGTTCCTCCTCTCCGGTCCATACGCAGCATGCGCAGGATCTGCAGGAAGCGCAGGCTGCGCAGGGACGTGGCCAACACATTGCCCTGGTTACGCACGGCCACCACCGGCACCGAGGCAATCAGAACGAAGATGTCTGAGAGAGGGAGACACAGCACACACATTCTTCTGTGTGAGGCCTTTAATTAATGAGCTTGACCCGGCGCCGTGATTAAGGGCTTCTCTGAGACGTGATGAATACAGTTTGAAGAGTTAGAACTGATTGAACATCGAGGACTTTGTGGGAAACTGTTAATAAGATTAGTCAGAACACATTAGGACGGGATGTTCTGGAAAATAGTGCCAGAAGTACAAAAAACGTATAGATCACACTTTTTATCAGAGATCTGCAAGTACTCAATGGAAAATGACTTTTTCTCTTTCTGTCTTTCTTTTGTTACGACCCCAGCCGCACCCCCTCTCCTGTGTGCAATGGACCTCTGTTTTGGAGTGTGTGTGTGTGTGTATGTGTGTGTGTCTTGGTGAATGTATACTCAAGGCCAGGTACCATTCACCTGTGCTGCCTGCTGGAAAGGCTTGATTGGAACACAGCTGCAGGAAGCAATTAACCAATCGGAGGAGAGCCCCTGCCGACACACTCCTTTAAGAAGCTTAAGCAGGGTACACACTACAAGACAATCTGTCCAGATTCCCACTTACGACCAAAGTCAGCAAAGGCCTGACTATCTGATGGATCCACAGATTATCTTGCCAGATTCTCCTGTGGTGTGAGGTGTGTTACCTCTGTATATCTGAACCTATTTAACCGAAATAAAGAGTTGGTTTTCTTACCCAGGATGCAGAGAGGTTTGCGAGCGAACTTCAACCTCCCCCTCCATCCTTTGTAGCGACAGCAGCATCCTGCAGCCCAGACTCTCAGTCCAAACTCCGCTCCGAAGATGAAGATGGCGAACGTTTCCTGTACGGGGAAATCACAGATGCAGCATCACAGACCAGATACTTTAAAGGTCACATATCCTCCTCCTCTTCTTCAGTGCTCTCATGAGCTCCTAAAAAAACATGTGTGTGAAGTTTCTTGTTTCTAAATCCACTGTGATCCTGTATTTGATCATGTCTATAAACCCCTCTATTTCAGCCCTGCTCAGAACAGGCTGTTTCTGTGTCTGTACCTTTAAATATGTAAATGAGCTGTGTCTGACCACGCCCCCTCTCTGGAAGGGCTTGGGTGTACTCTGGTCTTTCTCGCTCCATGTCCTATTGTTTACGGTGAGAAGGCAGACTCAGAGGGCTGAACAAACACCTAGCTGTGGGAGTGTTACCCACCTGGGGGAGGGGCTACTGCCCTTTGTGATGTCATGAAGGGAAAATCTACAAACGGCCTGTTTGAGCACACATTTTCTGAAAAGTGGAGCAGGCAGAAGACGGAGAGGATGGACTTTTCTCATCATTGGGGGGTTTGTAGACAGACTTTATCTGTCAGCTTCGATCCTGACTTTAAGTGGACAGAGTCACCCGCTTGGAGGACTATTGAATGTGTGAGAGTGAATTTTCTTCTAATAGTGCAAACAAAGGCAAGCAAAAAATGTGCATGAAAGACAGAAATGTCAATGATCTCACCAGTATGACCAGCCAGTGTGCAGACACCTTCTCGTGTTCCCTGAACGTCGTCAGTATGGCCAGAATCAAACATCCCAGAACGATCAGAAACCTGCAGAGACGCACAAAAAAAAAAAACACAATGTCACAAAACTGGTTCACATAACAACATCATACAGAGCGGAGGAGGAAGACCTTTCACCTTCACTGCTGGTGAAAACAAGGCACTTTCTCATTGTCACCACTAGAGGGAGCCACATGTGCTCTGTTAATGTGAGCCAACAGCTGCAGCACAAACAGTCTCTGAAGCTTGAAATGAAACTGTTGCATCACCTCTTTCAGCGTACGGAAATCACCCATTTACAGTCGGCTGGATGAGTCACACTGTCCGGACTCACTCATCACTCGTCACACATGTTCAGACAAACAGATGGTTAAAAATCTTTGCTCGTTTATCAAGAGTTTGAAACCAGTATACCCCCACACAGCTGTCACTAATCAGTGTTAAAAAACAAAGTACTCATTCTGTTGTCTTCTTAATTATTTTCTTCACTCTAAAAATGTCACTTTTCCCCTCTACATTTACTCAAAGTCTTATTTTCTATGTCTTGTAGGGGCATGTCTTTTTGGACAGGGGTGGCATAACTGTGGCGATGACTTAAAAAGGGTGGCCTGAAATGAGATGTGTGCACAGACATATTCTCCACCTTCTCACGCTTTTCAAACAGTCCCCCTGTGGTCTAAATGAAACATCTGTGCTGTGCTTTGGTCAAAATATAACATGAATCAAGCACCAGAGGAGGTTTGTGACCCTGTATAAACCAGCTCTCTCAGAACGCTCCGTTTTGGTGTGTGTGTCTCTTTAAATGTAATGACCCCCCCGGCCCCCTGAGTTTTCCCCGTAGACATCACTCCTCTGTAACGAGAATACAAATGGAGGACCTGTGCAAAAGTTTTGCTCTAGGCTGGGAGTGGAGTCTATGGGTGGAGATACCAGGGGAGGGGAGGGGATTTTTTTTTTTACCAGAACCCCACTGTGACATCACAACATTTGAAACAGAGCATTTTTCTTATGTAGACCACAAACAAAGGACTGGATGGGTTTATTTCACATGTTGTGGGTCAGTAGACACTCAGGTTACCCAGATATATGTTCAGAAACACTGTAGAAGTGGATTTTTTATAATATGTCCCCTTTAATATTTCAATGACACAAAAAGTCTCAATTTAAAATGCTTAACAAAGTGCGTGCAAAATGTTCTGCACAAAGTCTGAATCTGAATCCTGTGATAAACTGGTGACCGCATCATTTCCACAAATTGTATTCAGGGTGTTATGCTAGCAGCGTATTTCTGTTTGCAAATAGCTCAGTGCACACGTGTCTGGGTGGTGGAGTGAGTGTCCATGCAGTGTGTACGAGTCATGTTGTGTATGCAATCGACTGTAGCAGCGTCAGAGCAGAGAAACAAGTTACCCGAAGCTGTAAGAGCAACGTGTACAGTTTGATATGAATGCTCCGACTCCTCAAAGAAACGAGCCGGACTCAGACACGAAGAGTGACGGGGGGCTGAGCCACGAAGTTATGGCTCTGTGCTCCACAGTCTGTAAACACCTGGAGCAGCACCGCAGCACAGCTGGAGTCCCGAGACAAAGGCGTTCCCACTGCGATTACAGAACGATGTATGTGGTATAAAACCGTATAAATCCCTTATAAACACATCAACAAACACACATAGGGTCATTGTTCTGGACCGTCAAAAAATGAGTGTTTTATTCTGAAAATACACAGGATGTTTTAATGTTGTTTGGATGTCTGACTTCCTGTCACGCTCGATCTGCTCCCTTCTGTGCGCTCTGACCATGATCAGGAAAGGTTAAGAAGGGTGATCTGTAAAACTTGACTGATCTTAAGATGTTATGGAGATATCTCTGTTCCTACAGTTACAAATGTAGATGTTTTAAATACCCGGAGGTCATGAGATACAACACGTGTTCTTCTCTAGAGATTCTATGGACTACAAGGATGAAGACTTTAAAGAAAATTAAGATTTTTATCTCGTCTGTGACCTCAGAAATATCATCCAGACGTTTCATCCAGAGGCGATCAAACGCGTCTCTATGTTCACCTGTGTTTAGAAACTGTTGCTTTACTTTTAGATTCTTCTTCTGAGTCTCTCTCCCCCCCCCCCCCCCAGGTCTATATTTAGCCCCTCTCACTCGTTTCATTAATTGGATACACTCGTACAAACAGCTATTTAATTTCTCCTGCACACCGAAGCACAGCCCGCTTGTATTCCAGATCGTCTGCAGTTAACGACCCGGATATGATTTATGACATGGAACCGCTTTAAATAAACTCAACCAGCTGAGGACACACCACACACACACACACACACACACACACACACACACACCCTGCAGATTAACAGTGAGCCAGCACTGCATGTCCAATATTCTCCTCCATCAGCTCTGTGGGAAATCTTATTCTGTTCTTTTTCAGCTCTGACGACAGCCCACAGAGGCGTTCAGGGGAATACCAAGGTGCATTGTGGGAAACAGACGATTGAATACACGTTTGTTTGTTTGTATGAAAATGCCTGATTGTAAATATTCAGGGTCTGTTTCCACCAAGCGCCCATTTTCAATACAAAATCAAAACAGTTCAGCGCTCGTATTAAGAATGGCCACTTCTCCCTCACTGACCAATCAAAAATCAAGAAGGGGGCGGGGCTTCTGGTATCAGTTTGTCAACAACAATGGTGGAGGAGAAACTAGTCGTACTCGTCTTTTTGAGGGAACACTTTCCAGTTACTCATTGATCAACGGTGGGTGCGCGTGGATCTATGCGTGACGAGTGCGAACATTCCTGCTCAAAATGCCCCGTTCAAGGATGAAAACTGATTCAAATTGATTGAACAATGAGCGCTGGACAAAAGAAGCGCTCTTAAATTGAGATTGTGGGCTTACAGTTCCTTTTACACTGGCACCGCTCTTAACCTCAGTTCCAGGGCGTTTCTCACAAAACGTTTACTGTTGCTAGGTTACCAAAGTTGTCTTGCGCCTTCATCGTTACAGACGACAAGTTCTGTTTTTAAAAGCTGTTTAACATTCGCTTTTAATCGAGGAAACTTTAAAAAATAAAACTTTAAAAAGCTGATACCAGAAGTCCCGCCCCTTCTCGATTTTGATTAGTCGATGAGTCAACTTTGATAAAGAATCTGTTTCTTTGATGCAGACCGGGCACAGAACCTCCCTAACAGGCACTTTGACCGTGCCAACCCGATACTGAAACGATGACTTCTGACGACTGATGACGCCTTTTTTTAAATTTAGGAACATATCAAGCTAGAATGTGTCGATAATTCACCAGGATGAGATGATAGCTGGGAGCCGATCTGGTTTGTCGTCTGAGCGCTCTGTGGAGGTCATCCTGCGTTTTGGTCGACACTTAAAAAGTCTCCACACTTCCTGTTTTAACATCGGGGGATTAAACCGAATCGTTTTCCCTCTCAAAGGTATCCAGAGGACAGAGATGATTCAGGCGGGGGGGTCGATGTTAACTCGATACGATCCAACAGATACTGATCCCACACTCGGTCAGCTGCCTGTCCAGCTTCATGAGCGTTCAATAAAAACACACAGAGAGCGACGTCGAAGCATCAGGAGGAGCAGGCTGGACTTCAAACACAACATGAGACTCATCCATACCTACAGGGGACATCCAGAAGGATTGGGTTTGGTAGGATGTAGCCGTAACCTTTACAGATTGAACTTAATCTATAGTCCGCAGTGAACAGTATGAAAACTAAGAACGATCTTTAAGAGAGAGGTGGTTCAGATAGAAGTGATTGTACCCGACCTAAAAAGCCTCTGCATGTTTCTAATAAGCTCCACGAGCAGAAACGTGCTCAAACTAGGATCAATATTGGAGATGCTTTTGAAAAATGGAGAGAGGTTAGAACACAGAAAGGTTTACAGACCCATGCAGAGCTGGATAAACACTGAAGCTTCAGAGTCCACCACATGGTGACCTGAGTGAGGGGGGGGGAGACAGCTCTCTATGATGTTTAGAATTTAGACTGCAGTACCCGTTTCAGGCACTAGGTGTCAGAGTTACATACTGCTCCTTTAAAGTCAAAAATTGTTTCATTTTGTTATCTGAAAGAGAAAGTGATTCAGAAGGACGGGTCTGCTTTGGCGATGGTTTAAAAGTCAGACGGTGTTAGAGGCTGTGAGATAGCACCAATGTGACGCTCCTCGACCTGCTGATGGCTGAATAAACGAAGCGTGGAATCCAATCAGTGTTGTGATTGCAAAACAAGTGTTCCTGAGAGATACAGAGAAAATGTTCCAAACAATCCATTTTCTCTCTCTGTGAAGTTAAAGCGGCTGCAGAGATGGCTTCGCTCTGGTGTGGACGCGGGGAAGTAATGGAGCTTTTTACCAAAGTGGAGATTTGCAGTGGAGAGAGAGTCGGTGGGAAAATGGATCTCTACTCGTCAGAGGTCATCATGCTGAGTAAGAGTTGTTTCCACACAGAAACAGAAACGGTTTGCAGTCTCGTTTTACAGAATACGGCAGCTGAAGAATTAAATCGTGATATAAGAGATATAGGAGCTGTTGGTCTGTGGAAAAGAAAGTGTGTGAGAGGAGGATGCTGAGGAAACTGCTCAGTATTTTGGACAACACCCTACCGACCCCTGAACGCCACATCGGAGGCCTACCAGAGCGCCATCAGGTGACCACCAAGGAGCAGCACAAAACAATGAAGGAGGTCTTTTCTACCTGTGGCCATCAAACGCTACAACTCCTCCACCTTCTGCAGCAGCAACAATGGAGCATAACTTATGAGTCATGCGCGGCCATTTTCATTTAATAAATAGTACAGCATTTTAATATCGGGTATCCAGATAATCGTGCAGGAGACTCTGAGAGTCAGTGCTCCCTGGATGCACACATGCATTAGTCTGTCTTTCTTTTTCTGCTTATTTTTCTGATTTTTGATTGACAAACTATTTTAACACTTAATGCATCAGGGCCTCTAATACAGAGACGCCTTTGTTTATCAAATCGTGCAGCAACACCAGGCGAGGAAAAGGGACTGGGCTTTAA